ACAATGACTTCCTCATGTGCGGCAGGTTAGTTTACTTCTAAAAGCACTGTTTTCCGTTCCAAAAAATACAAAAGTAATTTTCTACCAGATGACCATGGTTCTTTTCATCGAGACTAGATAATTTCTCTCGGTGTAAGGATATAGCTATGGATAAGTTCATACAAGGTCAATAAATCCGCGGTCACTTCGGGTCACACTGTTGAGAAAATAAACCGATGGGTTTGTTTAGTAGCAAATCGAGCGTGAATCAACTGAGTTTGTACTGAAAATTTTTTGAGTGATATGTATGAACTGTCTTCACACATTCGGTTTATAATTAGCGATACACAGGTATAGTGGCAAGTGTTGTACTTCACAGACTGTTTACCTCCGAACTACCTCCGCACGAAATCTCCGATTTGGGTACTTGTTAAAAGAAAAAGAAATAGTACCTGTGCGCATGCCAGTAAAAAAACCCTAAGAGTTCGCGCATAAAAATGCCCGAACGTACCAGGCGCCAGGTCATCAAGGGCACTGATCTGTAATTATAAGACGATATAACACGACAGTAACTGATCTGTAATTATAAGACAATATAACACGATAGTTTATCTAAAGATCACTGATATGTAATTATAAGACAATATAACACGATAATTTATCTAAATGTCGCTGATCCCCATCCATTTTAAACTAGTTCAACGACAATTTGCCGATGTTTTGGTAGTATCCTATTGTGCTGTTTTCGCTGTAATGTTGACAAGTTAGACAATTAACTACCATTCTTTCCATATTCTAAACATATATTCTTATTGGTGTATTATAGTAATGGGGTGGTAAATGAAATGAAAGGGGTTTTAGAGCCCTAATGTTCTGCTCCGACTGAGCTAATGAGGACGGGCATATGCCATACAGTGTGTTATGAACGAAATTTTGCCAGGACAGCGACACTACTGCCTGCTCTTGTAACGAATTTCAACTGCCAAATGGTATTGTACTTGCACATCAATGTGTTCACGGGACCTCGGTTTTTCTACCCATCCGAACGACTATACGTTGTCTCTCGTTAGGCACTGAAAAGGGAGGGGGGTATCGCGTGGTAAGTTAACATAATCTAATGTCACTCATATTATTTTATAGTGGTCTATATTATAGTAATAGAGGTGTATCACGCGGTCAATATGGCTATTAACATATTCTAATCATTCTTATTGGATTATTATAATAATGGTGGTGGTATCACGTGGTCTATGATTGTTAACATATTCTAATCACACTCTTATTATATCACGTGGTCTATATGATCTTTAGCATATTCTTATCATATGGCCACAGATCACTAATGATTTCCCCATTGACTTTAATGTTTATTCTCGTCTCTTAGACCAGCTCTAACTTTTTCCCATATTTTCGGTGGGTAGAACGCTTTCTACCACAGATGGGGCAACATGGGGCAATTTTCGGCCCCACATTTCCACCTAACCAACATCTCAACTCTTGTATCCTTCCGCCTCAAAATCATGAATATTCACCAAAACATCTCAGAAAATGTATTTTCAAACCATTTTCTTCGATTCTAATCGCCATGCAAAAGGGCGGAAAGGGAAAGAGAGAGAAAGACTAAAAATAAATTTCGCCCGGCGTAGAAATATTTGGTGAGCTGTGTCCATATTCTTATTGGTTTATTCTAGTAATGGTGGTGGTATCACGTAGCCTATATGAGAGTAACGGCGGTGGTATTACGTGCTTAATGTTGCCGTTAAAGACCACATAAGATTAAAAATCTTAATTGAATGTACTTATAGCCAATGGTTACTATATCCATTTTACGGCAAGTTCAAACCAATCTGATTAAAATTAATTCAGCTATTGAGGTTTAAGTATCCGAAAGCCAAAAAACGGTTTTCAAATTTTCAATTACAACCTTAATCTGGTTGATTGGCTGGTGACGTCACAGGCACTACACATACTATATACATTATCTATACAATACACACCACCAGTTGACAAGTGTATCGGTCCCATTAACATTTTACTGGCATAATCATAATCACCGAATTATCGTCTTGCGTTGTTATAGATTAGACATTTGTGATTGGAATATTTTAAGGTGAATTTAAAATGCCGTATCATCCCGTTGACCCATTTAAGGTGTCATTGTTTAAACAGGCCCCGTGACAACTGAAGAAGACCTAAGCAATTAACGCATTTACCGGTAATTTGGATAACCCCGTAATACTTGATATCCCAAACTATTCTCTATAAGTACAGAAATACAAATGATGCCAGTCAATTGTCGATATATTCGTCATTTACAAATCGCTTTTCAATCATGTTTGACTTTTATGGTACAATTTGCATAAACACATCTTTTTACCCCTGTACTTTTTTACTCGGGGAAATTAGAACCACAGTACTCTTTTGACGAAAATGTATCTCTAATCAATTGGACTGCACACGATGTTAGAGGGTATTAAAATTGCTGTTATGAGAAATTGAATCTTAAATTAAAATGAATTACAAAACAAATTATTCCATAGTCAATCATATTCCTATTGGTTTCTTCATAGAACTAAATTAGTTCTATGGTTTATTATAGTAAATAACGGCGATGGTATCATGTGCTGTATATGGCTGTTAACATTCTAATCATAATCCTATTGGTTTCTTTATGGAACTAAATTAGTTCTATGGTTTATTATAGTAAATAACGGCGATGGTATCATGTGCTGTATATGGCTGTTAACATTCTAATCATAATCCTATTAGTTTCTTCATAGAACTAAATTAGTTCTATGGTTTATTATAGTAAATAACGGTGATGGTATCACTTGCTGTATATAGCTGTTTATTATAGTAAATAACGGTGAAAGGATCACGTGCTGTATATGGCTGTTAACATTCTAATCATATTCTAATTGTTTCATTACAGTAAAGACACAAGAATCGGGGTGTTATCAACCGAAAAACTCGCCATGTTCTACGCATACTATTGATTGTAATGATATGGATGGTTTATCTCCTGGAATGAAACAATTTCATATTGGAATAGAATACCTGTATTACTATAGTAATCCAAAAGTTCCTAAGTGCCCATATGCTTTAGACTTACGTGAATGTAGAACACATCAATGCTGTGCCACTTATAGTAGTGATACAAAGGAACCTTTCAGTAGGCAGGACAGTTTAGCTTTCTATAAAGCCTGTGCTTTCGAACCCGCTTGTACCTTCACATCCCCTTATAATCGCAATACTGGTTACCATTATGTAGAGTATGGTTATTTTTGTGCACATAGTAAGTAGACTTTATTTGTATTACACACAATACCAGAGAGAGAGAGAGAGAGAGAGAGAGGGGGGTATTTTCTGGACTAACATATGGTCCAGTTTTATCTATTTCAATGATTCGCATTTGCACACTGGTAGAAAACCGGAGAACGGGGAGAATGTCGGAGAACCGAGAGAAAACCCACGAGGTTAGACAGGCGATCGACCCTACTCCTTATCGCGTACAGAGAGAGAGAGAGAGTTTAACGTCCAATCTACACAAACTAGGTCATTTTGGGACTAACATATGGTTCAATTTTATATCAAAAATTCGCTAGCGCGTAGGGGTCTTTAGCAGTGGGAGGAAACCGGAGGACCCGGAGAAAACCCAAGAGGCTGGACAGGCAACCCTACTCCCTGTCACGTACAGCCGAGGAATCGAAACCACGCCACTTGACTCAATGACATACCCTACGATACATCGCGCACGCAGTAAGCATTTGCCCCCTCCCAATTCGCCATACAGATTTATATTTTGTTAGTTTTGTTTGAAGAGAAATTATATATTGTCTTGAACACTATAGAAGAATAAAACAATTAAAAAGGCGCCGATAGCTCAGTTTTAGACATAATGGTTGGTATTTTAAAGATTTTGCACCAGCTTACAAAGAGTTCAAATGAGTGTAACGAATATATATGCTGTCCTATTACAGGCCGGAATAATCGAACTAAAATAGACCCCGAGTCTAGAAGCACGAGCAATGCGTGACCTACCGCTAACGATATTTAAGAATCCCAATCTTCACTTCCATCGCTAATCTAGAAATATTTTGTCAGGGCCCTTATTCACGAAAACTTAAACTAAGTTACCGCCGAAATTTTAAGAAATACTGCAACTTCATTGGATATATGCAAATTGCTTTTACTGGTCAGCCAATCGAATTGCAGTATTTCTTAAAATTTCGATTGTATCTTAGTTTTCGTGAATAAGGGCCCTGAACATCTTTACTGAACCTGGAGCACTGGGGTATAGAAAAGAAGAACTAAGGTTTAACGACCTCTTGACACAAACTAGGTCATTTCGGGACAAACATTTCGATGTCCCGCTTAAACGTGAAAAGGAATTGGATCGCCTGTTCAAGATCGTGTGTTTTCGCCGGGTCCTCCAAGTTCCTCTGAGTGCTAGAGACCCTGCGTTATTGAAAAGTTAGTTCCGAATTGGCTTAGTTTGTGTTGAGTGGACGATAAATACCATTTCTCTATCTCTCTGTTATTTATTTAACGTGTTACAAAGTCTGATACCTATAACACCATGACAACTGGTGCAGTTCACGATCTATAATAGTTCTTATTTATTTCTTCAACGTGTGTTACAGAGACTGATATCTACAACACCATGACAACTGGTATAGTTCATGATCTATAATAGATGTTATTTACAGAGACTGATATCTATAACACCATGACATCTGGTATAGTTCATGATCTATAATAGTTATTATTTACAGAGACTGATATCTATAACACCATGACATCTGGTATAGTTCATGATCTATAATAGATGTTATTTACAGAGACTGATATCTATAACACCAGGACATCTGGTATAGTTCATGATATATAATAGATGTTATTTACAGATGTTATAATAGATGTTATTCATTTCTTCAATATGTTTTACAGAGACTGATTTCTATAATATAATAACAACTGGTTCATTATCAATCATGGCTTGGATGGCCCTGTATTTTCGCGGTAAAGATTCGCCAGTTAAAGATTTAACATGTTCCTGTGATTTAACCCAAAAAATGTATATGACAATCCAATACATCTACCTGAGTAGTGAATCGTGTACCGGACTAACAGTAACGGGTGACGACAAACCTTTATATAAATGCCGCGATGATGGTGTATTTATTCCACGCCAAAATGCTACGAAAATTAAAAAAAAGTATAAGATTGTGTTTAACAACATGACCCCCAGCTATGATGATTTAATCTGGATTGACTTTCACGGTAGGACTTTTATATATATCTCCAATAGAATTAACTATTAAATGAGATAGGGATAAACGACCTACTCGTCTGCATTGATGGTCTAAAATTAATGCGGACATACACCATGCAGTATACATACGCCATGGAGAGGGAGAGTGGGGGGGGGGAGAGAGACAGGAGGTGGGGGTGACGTCCACTCGACATATGGTTCAATTTTATTTAAATAATTCTCTTGCGCTTAAGGGGTCTTTGGCTGTAGGGGGAAACCAGAGGACCGCGCGAAAACCCACCGGGAAGCATAGACGATCCTACTCCTTGTCACGTATAAGCGGGGAGTCGAAACCACGCAACTTGACTCATTGACAGACCATAATTGTATCCATAGTTTGTATCCATAACACGATTGCTATTTCCTATTTCAAACCATCCTGGGGATCACGGTGGCTAAGTGGGCAAGACGCTGGCTCGCTAGTCTGGAGGTCGATTGTTCGATCCCTACATTGGTCGAAAAAGTTCACCCAGATTTTTTTGTCTGCGATATCACCTCGTTGGAAGCGGACGTAAAATACAACTAACTCACACACACCCAGATTTTCCGGCGTGGTTCCCCCTTGTCAGAGATGCAGGACGGAGGGCCTGGCAAGGACAGCTGTCTAGTCATTCGGATGAGACAAAATCAGAGGTTACGTGTACACATTGGCGTGCACGTACAATATCCCTTGATAGTTAGAATTCGATATAAGAGTAGGCCGTAGTGCCGCTGTCCGGGCAAAATGTCCCTCATAGCACACTGTATGGCGTATGCCCATCTTCAATAGCCCAGTTCGGAGCAAAACAGTTGGACGTTCATCCCCATTTCATTTCATTTCATTTCAAACCATTCTGCGTGGTTAGTTCGTAATTTTGAAAAAACAGTATGGCAATATAATGTATCCTTCGAATGACGATCAAAGACAATGTTTCACATTATGTCAGGCCGAAAGAGGTCCAGTTATCACTCTTTGTCACATAAACATTTGTTCTGTATTTGTAGATCCGGGCAAACAATTGAAAGCGTCTTGTGATTGTGATAAAGCAGGTGAGTATATATTGTTTTTATGGAATGTTGATAGGCTTATATGTGCATTGTATGTTTCTTGCTCATACAATATCTTGACAGTCGGGCTGCGTTTGGCAATTCGTGCATTATATTTGACACGAATCATATTTTTGATCGGACAACACCGCTTTAAACATACATTTTGCAAGAGCTGAATCTGCCTATTGCAGATGTTTCTTTAGATCTGAAATGTTATCTAAATTATTAATTAGACATAATTTATCCAGACCATAATCAACCCTCGATGGCATCGCTAGCCTGTGATATTGACTGGATTAGGATCAGATTTGCTGCTCAACCTTCATTCATGATTAAATCATGAAATGAATAATCGAGACTATTTTTTTCTCTGATCAGAGTGGATCAATTTGGCTGAAATTTTCAGAAAATTTCCTTTATATTATCTAGTCTTTAGCTATTATAGCGAGAGCTGTCAGCCCTTTATCTAATCTCCCATAATGTATCTTTAACTTATTATTACAGTGATAGATGGTGCTTGGAGTAATTGGTCTGAATATAGTTTCTGCTCTGTTTCATGCGGTAGAGGTGTCAAGACCAGGAAAAGGAGGTGTGACTATCCAGCACCAGCTAATGGTGGAGCAAACTGTTCTGGTATTCCTACACAGACCGAGGAGTGTGTTCAACTACAGGAGTGCATTGGTTTGTAATTACATCATTATTGACTCATCTTTGATGCATTGTTTTATTAGTGTAATGCAATTCAACCTTTGTGTTCTAGGTCATCTTCTTATTATTTGATAATTCTGGTAAACCCATAACGCGTATTTTTCTGTCTCTTTAATCTAACAGTAGTTATTATTTCTAACCTGCAGTCAATAATAACTCAGAATAGTTTACGTCATCATTAAAGATACATTATGCAAGCGCTAAATGTGCCTATTGCAGGTCTTTATTTAGGCCTGAAATGTTATCTAAATTATTAATTAGACATTAATTAACTTATCCAGACCATAATCAACTCTCGATGTCACCGCTAGCCTGCGATATTTACTGGATTAGGATCCGAGACTATATTTTCTTTATAGTACCGACTTTAGTAATGATGATCGAGGCTAGGACCAAAATTCAATCGCTAAATTCTCGGTTCAGAGTAGATGAATTTGACTGAAAATTTCAGCAAATTCCCTTTACATTATCTAGTTTTTAACTATTGTAGTGAGAACTGCCAGCCCTTTGTCTAATCTCCCATAATGTATCTTTAATAATTCACGCGTCATTAATCCAATTCAATAAATTCTGTATAATACCAAATCAACTAAGCACTCATCATCAATTTTAACTTTAAAAATTTCATTGTTTTATTACGTGCAGGGTTCTCATAACCATTAAATCCATCTTTATTAGTGTGGTTGGATGGTCGAAAGGTTAGCGCGTGCGCGTTGTGTCATAAGGTCTGTTATTGAGTCAACTGGCACGGTTTCGATTCCTCGGTTGTACATCACACGGAGTGGGGTCGCCTGTCCAGCCTCGTGGGTTTTCTCCGGGTTCTCCGATTTCCTCCCACTGTTAAAGACCCCTACGCGCAAGCGAATTATTGAAATAAACTTGAACAATATGTTAGTCTCGAAATGACCTAGTTTGTGTCGAGTGGGCGTTAAATACTCTCTCTCTCTCTCTCTCTCTCTCTCTCTCCCTCTCTTAACGTTGATCTGTAGCTTATACTATCTCTTTATAATTTGTTGATCTGTGGATGAGCTAGGTCATTGACCTTATAATAAATAACACTTGCTTTTGTTTTAATTCAATATTGCAGTGATGGGTGGTGGATGGGGTAATTGGTCTAAATACAGTGCCTGCTCTGTTTCGTGTGGTGGGGGCAGCAAGACCAGGACATTGAAGTGTGATAGTCCCACACCGACTGGTAAAACTAATTGCCCTGTTATTATCACACAGATCAAGGAGTGTAATCAACTGAAAGAGTGCACTGGTTTGTCATTACATCATTACGGAACCATGCTTGTTGCTAGTCAGAACATAACGTCTGTAGCTCCCAGAGGTTCAGATATTTCAGAGGGGTGTTTTACATAGGCTAACTCCATTCCGATATCCTGAACATAAATGCGATAAACAACAAATCCAGGGGAAAATAATGATGTAGGCTTCGCCCATACTGAAAACCTCACAATAAAACTGCCTGACTAAGGCCGTTTAAAGCAAACATTCACCAGGCCAGGTGTTGTCGCGCCATTGGCTTTCCAAAGAACAAGAAACGCCGGTATCCCTTTACGTAGATATGTCCGACTAGCTTTAGCCCTATGGAAGATCACTTATGGACTCCATTCGTTGGGTTTTGGGGTAAACCTCAAGTCGTCACAGAGCAGAACACCTTTCTTCCTCTGCCGGGTCAGACAGTTGTTGCCAAAACTGGTTTTGGTCTTTCATATTTCCCCACATCTCGTCTTAATTACGTGATTGGTTAATTAAGCCTAAAGAATTAGCCAAATATGGATATGTAATCATATTGGCCTTGACCCTAGATGGGCCATAAATATAGTGTTTGTTGGTGACAGATGTAACTTCAAAACATCCTGTCATTTATTACCGGTATATTAATTTGAAAACAAATCAACTTTGTTCGAAACAAACACATAGCTTTTAAGATCAGACTGTTAACATATTTATGTAACATTATTATTTACACGAATAAATCTCCAATTATGTTGCATCTTTAACTAGTTACTTACGTATCTAAGGTAAGCGTATATACTAATATTAAGCCATCATATTTTACAGTGGAATATGGGAACATATTAATGTGGAGTTTTATTAGTGTTGGTTTGATAGTCATCATTATATTTGTTATAATATGGTACGTAAGACATATTCTATATTTGTTATGATATGGCTAGACCTATAGGTTACATATTCTATATTTGTTATGATATGGTATGACATATGAATTATATATTCTATATTTGTTATAATATGGTAAGATATATAAGTTACATATTCTGTATTTGTTATAATATGGTATAAGATGTATAAATTATATATTCTTTATTTGTTATAATATGGTAAGATATATAAATTATATATTCTGTATTTGTTATAATATGGTAAGATATATAAATTATATATTCTATATTTGTAATAATATGGTAAGATATATAAATTATATATTCTACATTTGCTATATTATGGTAAGGTAGATACATTACATGTATATTATTCTAAATTTCAAATACATATAACAACATAATAGTTAAATTTGGATCAAGTCTAGCCTAACTAATGATTTGGCTTAATTTAGAGCCTGTTTATCATAACAACGAATATTACAGGAATGTTAATCTAAAAATAAAACGTTCTGCACCCCTTATTTGATAACCTAGCTATCTTATACACCCATGTAGATTACCAGAATAGAAATTCTAGAAAACCCAATGCTCGCGTCCTCAAGGGAACCACTTCCGCATTAAGGTGTACTCATTTAGAATGCCATTATAGAACACCCATGAAGAAAACCGATGTATAATACCCATGCTGACTGACAGTAACACTCATATTCACTGATTTAAATGTAACGTGAGTTTGTAAGTAGACCGTATTAATGTATCTATATGGAGGTGTCGGTTTCGCTTACTTTGTTGGCCGAGAAAGTTTCTCGGGATTTTCTGACGTGTTTCCATTTGGCAGGGGTTGGGGTGGGGACGAGTTAGTCTAGTGTCTAATTCTTCAGATGTTTCGAAAAAAAACGAGGTCACGTGTACACATTGGCGTGCACGTAGAAGAATCCTTGACAGTAGGAATTCGAAATTTGTCTCATAGTACGACGTTATTTCTAATAATTATACAAACATCCCGTTTAAATATGGGGGGTTGGATGGCTGAATGGTTAGCGTGCGCGCGCTGTATCATAAAGTCTGTCATTGAGTCGACTGGCGTGGTTTCGAATCCCCGGTTGTACGTGGCAAGGAGTAGGGTCGCCTGTCCAACCTCGTGGGTTTTCTCCGGTTTCCTCCCACTGCTAAAGACCCCTACGCGCAAGCGAATTATGTAAATAAAATTAAACCATATGTTAGTCCCGAAATGACCTAGTTTGTGTCGAGTGGACGTTAAACCCCATTTCTCTCTCTCTCCCGTTTAAATATTTAAAAATATATTTTGTCGATATGGCCAATCAAAAAGAATATACCATGTTTTAATTCACAGGCTTGTAAGACAAAAGACAAAAAAATGACAACAGTGCTAAATCAGATCAAAATCGACCAACTATTGGTGATGAGAATACAAGTGGACATGAGGAGAGCGTTCATTATGAACACGCAGTATTTTAAAGGTGTCTTGTTATATATGTCTATGTAACTGTTACTAGTTGGTAAATATCTTAACTGTTGTTGGTAAATATTTTAACTGTTACTAGTTGGAAAATAATGTAACCCTTACTTATAGTTGGTAAATATTTTAACTCATACTTATAGTTGGTAGATATTTTAACTCTTACTAGTTGGTAAAATTTTTAAATCTTACTTAGTTGGTAAATATTTTGACTCTAACTAGTTGATAAATATTTTATCTCTTATTAGTTGGTAAATATTTTAACTCTTACTAGTTGGTAAATATTTTAACTCTTAATATTTGGTAAATATTTTGACTCTTACAAGTTCCAGTTGGTAAATATGTTGACTTATATTTTAATAGTGTTTTGTTATATTTTTATGTAAATACTAGTTATAACTATTTTAAGTATTCCTGGCCAATTACAATGTTTTGAGAAGGAATTGAAGCAAAATTATGATAAATCAATTAGTTTGAATGTGTTTTTAGTCCAAATAAATCATCAAATCACACAGTTTGTACGCGGGAATGTATCTTTAACACTAGTTGGTAAAGAATTTTCAGTATTTTAAAGATATGTTGCTATATATCTGCTAATGAAAATATTTGACTTTTTGACACATGTTGGTTTATATTTTAACTCTAGTTGGTAAATGATTTAGACATTTTCAGTATTTTAAATGTGTTTTGTTATATTTGTATGTAAATACTAGTTGTACACATTTTTAGTACACACTTTTGGTGACGATATAGTGAAGTACCTTGCATTATTTTAAAGGTGTCTTATATGTTAATGTAAATTTATATCAATTCTAAACACTACGTGATAAAATATTTTCTGTATGTTATAGATACATTATGGGAGATTAGATAAAGAGCTGGCGGTTCTCACTATAATAGTTAAAAACTAGATAATGTAAAGGGAATTTGCTGAAAATTATTTCAGTCAAATTGATCGACTCTGAACCGGGATTTTAGCGATTGAATTTCCGGCCAAGTCTAAATCATCATTACTAAAGTCAGCACGACAGAAATACATAGTCTCTATTATCCATTTCATGATTAAATTATGAATAGAAGTAGAGCAGGAAATCGGAACCTAATCCAATAAACATCGCGGGCTGATTATGGCCTGGATAAGTTAATTAATGTCTAATTAATAATTTAGATAATATTTCAGGCCTAAAGAAAGACCTGCAATAGCCAGATTTAGCTATAATGTATGTTTAATTCCTAAAACATTTTCAGTAGTTTAAAGGCTCAATACCACTCTTGTTGTAACTGAATAATATGTCCCAATCTTTATTCTGGTCAACAAATTGTACTATTTTAGAATATTCCAATTAATTGATGATACAAATTTCATCTTAACACACCTAATTTAAAAAAATGGAAAAATTCAACTATATGATTTGAAAAGCCTGACGTAAAGCTTTTCAAATGTGACTTGGATTTAAACATATTTTTGAACCCTCTGGACAGGTAAAATAGGATTTAATGGATAATTTACACAACAGGTAAGACACTAACACATCTAGTACTTAGAATAAGGCTATTTTTTATTTTCTGGAGCTGTCAAGCCAGCAAGAGTGTTATTGTCCCTTTAAAGGTGCATTGTTAAATATATTAATATGTAAATATATAGGTCATGTACTGAGATAGATTTACTTGTAATTTCGTTGCATATTTCGTTGTAATTTCGTGTATACATATTATGTTGACTAACACTATAAATATTTCTGTATCTTAAATTAAATTCTTTCCCACGGTTTCCATTTTTTTCACAATAAATACAGTTTATCATTCTAAAATCGAACTCTGTTTTGTCAAGCGTAATAATTTTTAATATTATTTGTGCGTTAAGTGGTGCTAAAAGTTACACATTGGTCTTGATGTTACATTTGTGACCAATCAGATTGTAAAGAAATGTATTCAATAAAACATGTGCACTCAAAGTAAAATGAAATGGGGTTTAACGTCTTACTGTTCTGCTCCGGCTGGGATAATGAAGACGGGCATACGTCATACAGTGTACAATGGGGGAAATTTTGCCCGGACAGCGGCACTACAGTCTACTCTTATATCGAATTTCAACTGCCAAGGGGTCTTTTACGTGCACGTCAAAAAATAACCGAATGTCATTAGATAAGAGAACACGAGGAAAATAGAAACAGTCCGTACATTCCCTTGTTTTTATTCATTCTATACTTTTTCTATTTTTCTTTCGTGTTCTTATCTGAAATGAAATGAAATGAAATGGGGTTTAACGTACTACTGTTCTGCTCCTATACTGGGCTAAATGAAGACGGGCATACGCCATGCAGTGTGCGATGAGGGAAATTTTGCCCGGGCAGCGGCACTATCACCTACTATTATATCGAATTCCAACTGCCAAGGGATCTGTTACGTGCATTCCAATGTATACACGGGACCTCGGTCCTGTGTTCTCTTATCTAGTGACAGCCAATTCTTTTAATGAATTGTCAGATATCCCCCCACGGTGTCACACAACAACTTTTAGTCTTCCAAGAAATTATTAGTGAACAGACATTCGCCCGTATGTCTGTTACACTCGTTACTTCAGTCAGTTATATAGAGGGAGAACTCGTATTTTCCTTTTGCGTTCGTCACTTCCGATTGTCT